TAACTCGGAACAAAACATGTTATTGGGAAAACTGTAAATATGAACAGTCACAAATATAAAAAAAAATGATATGTAAAAGAGTATCTATTTCACTTAGCTTAAACATCTCAGAACACTCAGAATAACATTTTCCATCCTATTTTAATCAGTTGTATATGATCACAACCCATCTTTACACAAAAATCTCAACAATGAAAACTAAAACATGTTAGATCTACAAGTTTTGTAGGTGTTCAATATGCTAAGGTTGCAAGTATGTGACTTGTGTGCGTGTTTTTCATAGTGTAAACTTATTTTACACATGTTGGTCTTTTAAATTTTGTTTGTACACAAAAATATAAAACAAGTGGCTGCTGTAAGATGTATATTTTTCTATGTTCAGATCTTCCTAAGTTTGCTATTGTTGTCCACACTTTTAGGTAAAAGGTCATTAGCAAATGAAAACTGATTGTGACTAGCAGGAACTAACTAGCCATTATAAGGATCACATACTATAAGATTTAGATTGCTGTAGTAGTTTTGATTTTACTTTTTTTCTTCTTATATTTGGGAGTTATCTCCCAACTTTTAGTGTTTCACTATCAAACTATATTGTAAATATGAAATACTTTCACTTCAAAGAACAATTATTGGTTGGTTGTAAAATTTCTTGAGAAATTCAGTTTAAGATTTCATTAAAAACGTTTGTTATATAACTTTCAGACAAATATATTTTTTTTGAACATGGTTGGGCTACATTACTAACTAAAAGATCCATTAAAAATGGATCTTACTTTTGATGGTTCAACTAATAGTTATTTCAAAATGTGATATCTTGGTAGTCTGTGAGCAAACTTTTTCTAATAATTAAGTTATTATTATAATATCCTCATATAGGTATAGAGTCAAACATATAAATACTTTACCAAAGACAAACTGTGAAAAGAAGTAAATAAAGTTGTTGTCCAATTGTCAGCTACAATTATTGAATGTTTTTTCTCTCTCTTTGTTTTAATGAAGTTTTCTTTCACAGTTAAGAATACCAGAAATACTTCAAGATATGAAATGAGTTTATACTTTGTAGATTTTTCATTATTTTGACTAAAATGCTTTGTAGCATACAATATTCATTCTTTTTACACACAGACAAGTTAATAAATACTGAAACCATTCTGTTAAATGTGTCCACAAACATATGATTACAAAACATACAGTCCTGAAGTACAACACTATGTTTTAAATATAAATTATACTGTACTTTTCAAATTTTTAGTTTGGGGACTATTTTATCTTATCTTCAAACTTATTATGTGTAATAATTCACCAACTCCAAAATTTATTTGCTAGTTTGGCATATGCACTATCATTTCAAACAGACTCACAAAAAATACATCTTAATTAGTGGTTATATCATCCAAAAATATATATTATTACTGGTTATATCATCCACTGCTCATCAAAATTAGGATTAGATATTTTTAAATGTTCTTTTTATTCTACAACAACTTGTATACTAATGTTAAAAACATTTTCTATGATAACACTTGGTAAGAAAAAGTGAACCAATGTACATTAAGCATGTGATCTCTACACTTTTATTTTAGTTAAAGCTTGAAACATTTATAAAAACGAAAATACATTCTAAAGGTACATTTTTTATAGAAACCTACTTCTTGAAATCTTAAATTTGGTAACCTTCACGTTGTTTAACTACATTTAAAACATTTTTCTAATTTGGCTTATGCAAGATTTAAATTTAGAAAGGTTAAAACATTTCGTTTTCACTTTATTTATAAAGTCAAGATTAAAAACAACTGCACCACACTTTAGAATTACACTAACCAAATGAAAAAAAAAGTGTTGCCAGAAAATGTTTATACCATTTCTTGTAATTAGATGGTATTAAACAATTTTTCATTAATAAATATAATCAACATGTATTTATTGTCTACTGGTTACATAAGAAATTATGTATGTTCCTTAGCATATGTAATTTCTCTTTTTGTTTCAAGGTCAACTGTGCAAGTTTCTGAAGAATTTCAAACTAAGACAAAACAGGGCTCATGTTCCTGTTCACTAGACTAGTGCTTTTATTCACTGAGCTACGAAGTCCTAAAGTGGTTAAAGTATCTGCAAAATTTGCAGAAAAGTGAAATTGAATCTTAATCAGTTTGTTTTATATCAAAAAGTATAAATTAGTATAGCCAAAGAGGGCACTTTTAAAAAACTCAATGATGTATTTAATCTGTGTCGAATAGCTTGTTTTTATAACTATATGCTGCATAAGTAAAATTTAAGACATATTTCTTAAACTTATTTCGGAAAACTGAATACCAATGGGATAGTTTGTAAAACTTGAAACATATATATTTTATGTTCTAAGTTTTACCATAATTCCTTATCATTGCAGACATATTTTCTTTTAATTTTCTTCTGATTTATGCCTTTAAGATAAATGTGCACTGAAATTTACTTTATTCACACTCAAAGCTATCAGAATATATATGTACAAGGTTAGTTAAAATTGTTTGTGTACGAGAAAAGGAAGAAAACTATCCATAAACATTAATTAAATATGATAGATCTTACTTTATAAAATGACGTCATTAGTGTATGGTTCAAACTTCAATTCATACATCTGTTCATGAAAGTTACTTTATAATTTTTCTTAATGTAATTTACTTGTGGATAGGGTAAGCACTTAATAAGATTTGCATTTCCAAGTACAGCAGTAAAACTACATACTTATATCATTACATACAGAAACAATTTTTTGTCAGTGATAATTAGTGTCTTAACAAACATTTTAAATAAGTATAAACTGATCTAATGGTATATACTTTACTAAAGTTAGAAACATTTTTTCATAATAATTTTATCATAAAAAGAAAAATATGTGTTACCACAATTTAAAAGATATAAGAAATTTACTGGCACTATTTTTCAAAGTCAGGTGCCTTGTCAGTGACCCTAGATAACTGCACAAAAGAACTATATGATGGCATTTTAAAACTTTTCCTGATAAAGCCTCAACTAATAAAAATATTTCTCAGATTTACAATAAATTTAAATTACAGTTATCCCACATGTATAATGAACTACTTGGGAAAGAAAAACAACAGATAATATGCCAATTCACTTTCCTAAAACAGATGTTTGCATCTTTACTTTAAAAAATTTAGTAATTTGTTCCATCTTTACTGATTTTACCAAACCTGTTGATCACATTTTTAAACTGGAGAGTACTGCTAGTGGAAATTCATAGAACAACTTCTTTGATTTAAGGCTACTTTTGATGACATTACTGGGATCAATATGAC